CTAGCAGCAATAGAGGAAGACATCAAGTTAATACTTGATCCTAGATCACAAAGAGAATGGGGAAAACGTCCTGCTAAGATTGAGCAATCAAGAACAAAGTTTCCAGCATCAGAAAGCTTCTCTGGAATTCTGCTTTGAATGATGGCACTGACTTGTTCAGAAACAGTCACCTTCTTCTTCTTCTTTGGAACTGTGCCTAAGAGAATTTCACTAATGTCTCTGGTAAGCAATGCTCCTTCCTCAGGGCTTACACCATTAACAACCATTGTCTTTACATACCTTCTCAGTGCAGGTGAAAGTTTGACTACATCAACAAAAGGAATCTCAAGCATCAGCTTGTCTATCATAGCCTTGCATCTGGATTTTTCTATCTCTTGTTTAGACTTCCTAGGATTCTTGGGGAATGGTGTTTTGGGTTTACAGATTCGTTCCTGGCTATTATCAGCAGTTACAGGCGAAACAGCTTTGTTCTGGGGTGGGTGACGATCGTCACCAGGGGGTGACGCTCGCCACTGATCTGTGATGACCCCCGATTTCTTTGTAAGTTGGTGAAGAGCGTCACTCCTCCTTGGTGACACTTGTCACTCACCTCTGAGGCTGCAAAATTTTCATCTTCAAACTCCATCAGTTGCATGATCTGGTCTGCGCTCAACCTCTTTTTCTGCACTGTTTTAAGCTCCTTTTCACTCCTGACTGTGATGGCATTAACCTAATGCTTGGGATTGATATCAGTCCTTCCAGGAAGGAATCCCTCTTGCCTTTGAACAGCTCCTGCAGTTTGAGCAACCTGAACATCCAGCTTCTTCATATGAGAGTTCAGACTCTCAATTTTTCCATTCAGGTCTTGATACAGCGAATCGAACTTGCCATTCAAGTTCACTGTCATCTTCTGCTGTTTTTCTAAGAGCTGCTCCAGTATAGCTTCCATCTTATTGTCTTGTGCAGGTGCAGTTTGGTAGGAAGAAGAACCATAATTCCTGCTGTTCTGGTAAGGTTTCTGCAACTCAGTCTCCTGAAACTGTGGATTTGGAGTATAACCAATTGCATTATGGTTCCTTGGGAAAGCGTTCTTCTGATTGCTCCCATTGTAACCTCTGTTCTACTATTGGTTCCCAAACCTTTGGTTCTGAAAACCTCCATTGATGAAGCTAACATCCTTTTGTTCAAACTCTTCAGGATTTTCGAAGGTCTCCACCTGTACAGCGAATTGGACTGATTTCTTTCCCACCAGAAGGCTGTGAATACTGTCTAACTTAGCCTTAACCTCAGCTATTTGGTTCCCTTCATATAAACCAGCCTTTTGCAACCTCTGAAAATCAGCATTCTTGGTGCTGTTACTGCAGGCCAAGATTTCAATCAATCTGATTGCTTCTTCTGGTCTGTTGTTTTTGAAGTTGCCACTGCTAGCAGCATCCAACGCCATCTGATACTTCCAGTCAATGCCTCTGAAGAAAATACCAAGCAGCTGTACTTCATTGAAACCATGATGAGGAGTCTATTTGATAAGACTTGAATCTCAGCCAAGAAGCTTTAAAAGCTTTAGTATGACCTTGGGTAAAGGATGCAATTTTCATCATCAAGTCTTCTGATCTGGCATCATCATAGAAATTGTTCGGAAAAGCATTCTTGGTGTCCTCCCAAGTGGTCAGTGAACCAGGCTATAGTTGCTTCAGCCAATATGCTGCATCTCCTCCAAGTGAGTAAGAGAAAAGCTCGCAGAACAGAAAATCATAGCTAACTCCATTAGCTTTGACACTTGAAGCCAAATCTTCAAACCTCTAAATATGATCCATTGGATGCTCATGAGGTAAGCCATGGAAATGATGCTGTCCCACCAGCTGATAATAAGCAGGCTTGGGCTCAAAATAATTCCTCTGGAAAGCAGGAGGGCGGATTGCAGCTCTGTTGGTATAGAACTGATCAGGTCTGTTGTAATCTCTTAGTGTCCTCTGAACAAAACGCCCAGCAGCGTTGTTATCAGCAACAGGAACTCCAGCGTCTTGTGCCACTTGTTGAACCAGCTGTTCCACTATGACATTCCCATCTTGATCCAGTCTTTGCCGTTCTTCATTCCTCCTGTTTCCCTATCTGTCAACCAAGTGACCTTCTGCATCTTCAACCAAGATCAGTGGATTAACCATTGTAGATTGCTTCTCTTTGTGCTGGTTTTGTGTTGAGCAAGTGGAATTTCTTAAGGACAGGCTTAAGGAAGCCCACAACCCTCAGAAAAGTTATGTCGATAAACGTAGGAAGGACCTACAGTTTTCAGTTGGAGATGAGGTCTACTTGAAGATGAGAACATTCAGAGGTGTGAAATAGATAGACAAGCTAAAGAAGCTTAAGCCGAGGTACATGGGACCGTATAGGGTCATTGAGAGGATCGGGGCAGTGGCATATCGTTTGGACTTGCCAGCGGAACTGTTCGACTTTCATGATGTGATCCATGTGTCTTTGTTAAGGAAGGTAGTTAGAGAGCCTGAGCTGATACTATCTAATCCGCCAACGGATTTGAGTACGGACCTTCGGGTTTGGAGCACACCTGCCTCGATAAAGGAATATCAGACGAGAGACGTTAATGGAAAGGAAACCAGAATGGTCTTGCTGTGTTGGGAGAGAGATGGGATTAGAGAGGAGACTTAGGAAATGGAAAGTGAGATGAGAGGATGGTGTCCAGAACTTTTTGAGGGTGTAACTGGTTCGTGGGGTGAGTGTGTGAATTTAGGGACAAATTCACCTAAAGTGGCGGAGAATTGTAACGACCCGGTTCCAGACCCAACAGGAAAAGGAAAGGCCCATGCATCTCAGACCCATTTTAAAAGGGTATTAGGGTTTTCCCAGGATCCCCTCTATATAAAGAGAGCTAGAGAACTGGAATTATCATCACAATTCCCATAATACAGAGAGATAGAACTTAGGAACCCTAGCCGAGCAAGCAGTTATCTGCCGCCGATTGTCGCTGTTAATCGCTGCCGCCGTACATCTGTTCCTAGCCGCCGCATTCTTGAGTCTTTTGCCTTCCGTCGTTAGATACCTAAACCTTAGTTTTTCCTTTTAGATTTCATTCGATTATGCAAAGGTGAGGATGTGTTCATGCCTTCTCTTCGATATCGTTAGCTAGCTTGTTTCTGTTAGATCTGGATCTCAAATCCTCGAAAACTCTACAAGTTCCGCTCTAGGTCGTAACTTGTAGATCTGTGATGTTTGCTAGGTTGTTATTTACTTTCAGAACATAGATCTAGGTTGTGGATTAATTTGGTTTCCTGTTGATTGAGATTGTCTTGCTTGTGAGGATTGTGAATCTACATTGCATATAGAGTGTTAAAAGCACAATTGCATTAGGGACCGAAGTACAAGACATGTTAGTACTGTTTGGCTGGGTGGTGACCTGCGGTGGTTGGGATTGAGGCCTGGTTGACGAACCCATCTCGGCAAGGGCGTTAAGCTTGCGTGGTGCTTCCCAAGGCTGGGGCGTGAGTGGCGTGCAGTGACTCGTTTCTATGTTTACTTTATGCACTTGATTGTTGATTATTAGAGGAATCGTTAAACTGCGCTTGTTCGTTTGGCTCTGGCTAGCGACAGGTTTGGGTAATGGTATATATGGTGGACCACATGTATGTATTCTCCTGGGTAATCTAAATTACTCATCCCCTCTATGTCTCCTTTCTCCTTGCGCAGGTGAGCAGCAGCAGCAGCAGTGATTGGCGCATGATGGTGGTGATTGATTCTTTAGTTTGATCTTTTGGGGAACCGGAGACACTTAGCTTTCTATTTTTAAATGATTCCAGTTGGTTTTGAGACTTTATTATGGTTTATATCGAGTTTGAGTTGGTATTTGTATGACTATTTGAGTTTATTTAATATAAAGTATTGGTTTATGGTGATTATTGTGTGGTAACGTGGTTGGAAAATTGAGTGTATAACACATCATCTCAGTTGTGGAGAGACGAATGTTACATTACTAGTGGTTTGAGTTTAGTTTCAAATTATGTGCATTTATTTTTAAGATTTATAGCGGATTAAAGTTTAAGGTCATTAACATCACATGAAATGAGAGCTAATACACGGAGTTTTGAATATACTAAGTAATGACTTAAATTTAGTTTTAAAATCTACAGATTTATTTTGATGCTTTATAGACTGATAAAAAAAGAAATGCTATTTTACATACAATTATTAATTGTGTAGTATTGATTGAGATTATTAATCTTTCAGTTTGTATGTTATATACATTGAATTTTTCATCTACACATGAATTTGACAAGATATACAAATAATTCTACATACAAACATTTCTCATTCACACATGAATTTTTCTCGATCAATCATTAATCTCATAATAGAAGTCCAATAAAATAGTAACTTATTTATATATATATATATATTTTGAAGATTAAACTATTTTATATTTTGAAACCGAGTTAGTTTTAACACTATTTCTTATCATAGTATAGACTGCTATTACGTTAGGTTTATATTGAAATGGATTATTTATAAACAATACTATTCATCTGTTTATGAATTACTTTTCTGCTTTGTTAAATTTAAATGACGATAGATGTATAAAAAAACCAGTGTTTTTGTATTAATGTATGATTCAATCAATAATAATATAAAAGTTAAAACAAGAAACAAAATTAATTGAGATTATGTATAGTCTCAACAGATTTTTAGGAGACTATTTTTGTTTTAACACTCTCTTGTTCTTCTTCTCTCTTCTTTATTACCAGTTGGCAAAAATCAGAGTCGTTTTAGGGTTTTTGAGACAAAAAAGGCGATTCTCAGATCTCTAAAATATCAACATAAAAGCGCTGATCCCGTCGTCTCCCATCACTCCAAGGCCATTTCAACAGGTGCAGTTTCACTTTGGAAAGGTGGGAGGCCTCGACTTGTGAGGCTTTCCCAAATACCATCCCGTTCTGGATAAGAGTTACAAGAGTCCCATTAAAGAAATCGGGAAGGCTCTCGGCAAGGTAGTAAATACGGATCCTAACGGAGCAAGAATGAAGGTCTCTATTAATGCAGATGAATCTCTGCAATTTGAAAGAAAAGTGGGAAGGCTCTCGGCAAGGTAGGTACTTTTAAAGAAATTGGGAAGGCTCTCGGCAAGGTAGTAAATATGGATCTTAACGGAGCAAGAATGAAGGTCTCTATTAATGCAGATGAATCTCTGCAATTTGAAAGAAAAGTGGGATTCCCAAACGGCGATGTTGGGATGATTTCTCTGGTTTATGAGGGCCTATATCGATACTGCTTCAAATGTAAAAGGGTGTCCCACAAAGAAAGCTCTTGCCCCCTCTTAACGGAAGATCAAAAGAAGTTTTTTAAATCAACTCGAGTGATGAGAGAAGATACCAATATCTCCAAATATATCCCCCGAGCGCAGCTGGTAGTCTCTTGCGGGAAAGTTACCCAAGGGACTGATATATCATGGTTTTTATGGTTTTTAACCATGATATAAGTCCTTTTTATTGAGTTTTTTTGGTATTTTTAGAGTCCTAGAAGAGTCTTTGCAGGTTATAGCATGTCTAGTGCATAATTGGAGATTTTGGAACCTTTTGGAGCATTCTGAGTGGAAGCCACGAAGTACCAAGCTCGAAGCAGAAAGTATTCACAAATGGTGACGATCGTCACCTCTTTAGTGACGCTCGTCACCCACTAAGGAAGGAGCGTGGCGTTTTATTAAAAGTATCAAGAAGAATTGCAGAATTGACCCAGAAGTTTCCTTTATTTACATGAAGACCTCAGATCGTGTTTAGCTTCTATTTATTAGGTTTTTCAGCCATTGTTGGCGATTATCTTAGTTTTTGAGAATTCAGAGAGCTAGAGAGAGATTTATTCAGAGCTTTTTGGGGAAACAAATCCTGTACTCTTTTGAGAAGATTTCGAACCCTCTTTGTTTCTTACTCTTTCTCTTAATGCAATTTTATTCAGTTATGTTTTGTGATCTCATAATCATGTCTGAGTAATCTGCTAGTTAAGTTAGGGTTTTTCAAAGGTTGATGAAGAGATTGTAGAATCGCAATTCTGTTAGGAATATCTTATGGTTTTTCATCTCTGCTTGCTTAAAATCGAACTTCTAAGACACATCATCTAGGAATCCGAAAATCATAGGTTGTTAAATATATGTGAGAGCATTATTCATAACCTGAACTAGTATTTGATGAGCAAAACAACTTAGTACAAAGAGATTTGGCTTAGGAGTTTTGTAAACAACTGAATCTGATCATTCCTGCATGCTTAGGTTGTTAGGGTTTACAAAGAGATTTGAAACTCTGTGATCTAGGTATAGATAACTTTTGCAATGAAAATTGATTAGTTATGCATTAGAGATTCATATTTAAAACGGTTCTTAATCATTCCTGATTTCCTGCATCATACATTCTTGGATTCAAACCTGCGAATTACCCTGGCTTAGCGCTTTTAATCTTCTTGAACTTAGATAACTTCACACATTCGTTTGCTTACTTCCATTTATTCATTCGCATTACATACATCATATTTTGCTTAGCTTAGTTCGAATCTATATTCGATAGTGTAGTCTGCATTACTCTCTTGGGATTTCGATACCCCTTATACTACATCTGCTTTTGCTGTGCACTTACAGTAGTTTTATTTGGGTAAAACCTGACCCTATCAAGTTTTTGGCGCCGTTGCCGGGGAGTAATAGCTGCCTATCGAATTTTAGTATTAGGATTTTGTCTAAGTTTTTATCTGTTTACTGATTTTCAGCTACTTTTCTTTGTTCCTGTTTCAGGTGTATGCCTAATCGCAGAACCAGAAGCAACAAAGAGAAGGAGCTTGTGACTTTGAGCATCGACGAGCTTGCTAGGTTGGAGAGAACTAACAGGAAAGCTAAGAAGCAATCTACAATGGTCGCTCCACTGATCTTGGTTGAAGATGCAGAAGGTCACTTGGTTGACAGGGAAGGAAATAGGAGGAACGAAGAGGGGCAGAAAATTGATCAAGAGGGGAATGTCATTGTTGAACAGCAGGTTCAGCAAGTTAATGAGAACGTGGGAGTCCCTGCTGCTGTCAATAACGCTGCTGGGCGTTTTGTTCAGAGGACTCTAGGTGATTACAACAGACCTGATCAGTTCTATGCCAACAGAGCTGCAATCCGACCTCCTGCCTTCCAGAGGAACGATTTTGAGGTTAAACCTGTCTACTATCAGCTGGTTGGACAGCATCCTTTCCATGGTTTACCTCATGAGCATCCTATGGATCACATAGAGAGATTTGAAGACTTGGCTTCCAGTGTCAAAGCTAATGGGGTTAGCAATGACTTTCTGTTCTGCAAGCTTTTTCCATACTCTCTTGAAGGAGAAGCTGCATATTGGCTGAAGCAACTGGAACCTGCTTCATTAACTACTTGGGAGGACACCAAGAATGCCTTTCTGAACAATTTCTATGATGATGCCAGATCAGAAGACATGAGGACGAAAATTGCATCATTTACACAAGGCCCTAGTGAAGCTTTCAAGGCTTCTTGGATCAGGTTCAAGTCTTATCAAAGGGACTGCCCTCATCATGGTTTCAGTCAGGTGCAATTACTTGGGATCTTTTTCAGAGGCATTGACCGGAAATATCAGATGGCGCTGGATACAGCAAGTGCAGGGAACTTCAACACCAACAGACCAGAGGAGGCGGTGAGACTGATTGAGAACTTGGTCTGCAGCAACAGCACTAAAAATGCAGACTTTCAGAGAATGAAACAAGCTGGTGTAGCTGATAGAAATCAGATTGCTGAAGTTAAGGCTAAGTTGGATGATATGCACAGCCTTTTGGTAGGGAAGAAGTCAGTTCACTTTGCTGCAGAAGTAGAGACTTTCGAAGCTCCAGAGGAAGTTGAGCAGGAGGATGTAAATTTCATCAGCGGATTTCAGGGACAAAGGTATGGGAATCAGCAGTGGAACAGAGGATACAGCAACAACAATCAGAAAAACGCCCCTACAGGAGGACAGAACACGCCTGGTTTCACTCCTAGACCCCCTTTCCAGAAGACAGAGTATCAGAAGCCATTCCAGAACAATAGAAATTACAGAAACTATGGTTCTACTTCCTATCAACCAGCACCTCCACAAGAGAACAAAATGGAAGCAATGTTAGAACAGATCTTGGAAGGACAACATAAGCTTACTGTGGACTTCAATGGCAAGATAGATTCGCTCTATCAGGACTTGAATGGGAAAATTGAGAGTCTGAACTCTCATATGAAGAAGCTTGATGTTCAAGTTGCTCAAACTGCAGGAGCTGTTCAGAGGCAAGAAGGATTTCTTCCAGGAAGAACTGATGTTAATCCCAAACACCATGTGAATGCCATCACATTGAAGAGTGGAAGGAACCTGCAACCAGTGTTGCAGAAGGATTTAACCTCAAGAAATTTCGTGGGTATGGAAGAGTATGAAGATGAAGAAAATTTTACTGCAGAACCATTGGTGATGCTAGTCACCAATAATGGGTGTCGCTCGTCACCCATTGAGGACAACCCCGACCCCGATTCTTCACAAATTGGTGACGACCGTCACCAAGGGGGTGACGCTCGTCACCCATATCCAGAACTCGACCTCGACTCGTCCAAAGTGAGTGACGCTCGTCACCAATCCAGTGACGCTCGTCACCAGACACCACATGTTGCAGTTTCGCCTAAGACTTCAGATAATGCTAAGGAGACCATGTATAAACCCAAGATACCCTATCCTAAGCATCCTAAGAAGTCTAAGCAGGAGCTTGAGGATGCAAGATGTAAGGCTATCATGGACAAGTTGGTAATAGAGATCCCATTGATTGATGCTGTAAGGATAACTCCTGTTATTAGGAGGTATGTGAAGAGAATGATGACCAATAACTTGAGTCTTGAGGTTGGGGCTATGATGATCAACGAGCAGGTCAGTGCAGTGATTCAGAACAGAGTTCCAGAGAAGCTTTCAGACCCAGGAAGCTTTGTTTTAGACTGCACCATCTTCAAAGACAAGTTTGAGAGGTCATTGTGTGATCTTGGGTCTAGTGTGAACCTCATGCCTCATTCTGTTGCCAAGAGTTTGGGGATGACCGATTTTAAAGGTACAAGAATATCTCTTGTCCTAGCTGATAGATCAGTTAGAGTTCCTGAAGGGGTGATAGAGGATGTTCCTATAAAAATAGGAGATTATATGATCCCTACTGATTTTGTGGTTCTAGAGTATGGAGAAGAGCCCAAAGACCCCTTGATTCTTGGCAGACACTTCTTAGCCACTGCAGGAGCTATTATTGACGTCAGGAAGGGTAGAATAGAGCTGAATGTTGGCGATTTAGTGATGAAATTCGAAATGGATAAGCTGATGAAGAGGCCAACCATAGATGGACAGACTTTTTATGTTGATGTTCTCACAAACATTGCTGATCAGATCTTCCATGAGATGAGTTCAGAGGACCCCTTGGAAAGGGCGTTGACCACTTCTACAGCTGAGTATGAGCATTTAGATGCTGCTGCAACAGGCTACACAAAGATGATGGATGCTACTGCACAAGTGATGCAACTGGTTGCACAGGATGAACTTGTCTCCACATCTGCAAAAGCCGCCACAATGGATGACTGGTCAGCAGCAAAAGCACCAAAAGTTGAGTTTAAACAGCTCCCTGCAGGGCTAAGGTACGCATTTCTAGGAGAAAACTCCACATATCCTGTTATTGTTAATGCTTCATTGAACAATGCAGAGCTCACCCTATTGCTAAGTAAGCTGCAAAAATTTCGCAAAGCTCTTGGCTATTCTCTTGATGACATTTCAGGTATCTCTCCAAACTTGTGCATGCATAGAATACACTTGGAGGATGAGTCGAAATCATCAGTTGAGCACCAGAGGAGGCTAAATCCGAATTTGCAGGATGTGGTCAAGAAAGAGATCATGAAGTTGTTGCAGGCTGGTATCATCTATCCTATTTCAGACAGTGCTTGGGTGAGTCCAGTGCACGTGGTGCCTAAGAAAGGAGGTGTCACCGTGGTAAAGAATGACAAGGATGAGCTGATTCCAACCAGGACTGTGACAGGACACAGGATGTTTATAGACTACAAGAAACTGAATGCAGCAACAAGGAAGGATCATTTTCCTCTACCTTTCATCGATCAGATGCTAGAGAGGCTGGCGAATCACAAGTATTACTGCTTCCTTGATGGGTATTCAGGCTTCTTTCAGATCCCCATCCATCCAGATGATCAGGAGAAGACCACTTTTACCTGTCCCTATGGCACTTTTGCATATTGCAGAATGCCTTTTGGTCTGTGTAATGCTCCTGCAACCTTCCAGAGATGCATGATGTCGATTTTCACAGACATGATAGAGAAGTTTATGGAGGTGTTCA